GTGGATCGCAAGATATCGTCGAAAAACATAAGTGCGCCACAATACCCCCCGCGCCATAATACCCATGGTTCCCTTACGATAATTTATGACAATATAAATTCTTATTTTCACTGATAAACAATTCTTTTTTTTATTATTAAAAGTCAGCTACTATATTTTGTGTAATTTATTAAAAGTTAGTAACATATTCTATTAAAAATTCGTTGCTATATTTTACGTATCGGTATAATTTATTATAATTTATTAAAAGTCAGTTAATATATTCTATTAAAAGTATTTTAAACCAAGAATTCGGTATCCAAACGTTTAACCCGATTTAGGTTCAATTTCTGGATACACAACCTAAAATTTGGATCAGTGTAACCGGGAACCGGACATTTTCGAAAATTTCGTAGTGTAAGACTTGAAAGGCTTTCACCTCGCTCCCCTCAGCTCCAGCCAATTATACCATAAATTATAATTTTGTATATATGCTTTATCCCGCAAGCAGACGAAATCATTATTTCGACTACGTAACAGCATTAATATTTTAGTTATTAAAATTTTTTACTATTAAAATAGCCTTTTTTTATTAAATCTAAAATACAGTGCTAATTGTTTAGTTTACTGTGCGGACACCGCACAATTTGGAAACTTTTCTGTGCGGCAAATAGAGAAAAAACTATTTACAAGTGTGCGCACTTCTTACAAAATGATAATTTTTTTGTGCGGCATTCGCACATCTGTTCAAAAGAAAATGTACGCAAATTTTGTTTCTGTGTGCCGCGCACAGTCCGCTCATTTTAATTTGCGACAATTTGCAAATAACCTTCATAGGTTGGGCTTCGAAATGACCAATAGTCTATCGCTAGTTATTCGGGTCATTTGGATCAAATCATTTTACCATTGCTGCGAGTGCGGGCACTTGCAGAACTAGCTGCAGAACTCGCCTGGCGGTTTAAAGTCAAGTCTCATTTATACCTGTGTGTTCGTGTTCAAGTTTTCATGCCGTGCCCGTGCAGCGCACATATTTTTTGTAAAGTTATATATAAAATTTTAATTTGTGCACATTTTGTAATCTAGATTTTATACATTGCCCGTGCCTACGTATAATCACTTTTGTTGGATCCTTACTTCGAATGCATGATAATTTTAACAAAATTTCATGCAATTTTTCGTCATCTAATGCAATGATGGGATCTACCACCACCAAAACTAGCAAACTTTACTACCAAAACCAAATGCAAAATACAAATCTTTATAAGATCTTTATTTCTATATAGATGTCTTAAAATATCAACGTACATCTAATATGTACTGTATTTAAATTAGTATTAGGTCAATTCTCGAAACAATTTGATCCATTTAAAGTAACAATATCAAGCATATCTATTTAAAATGAAACCACTAATATATGCTCAATATGCATATACGTACAATAATCTATTTATATGTAACGGTAATAGATATAGAAATACAAAAAATAAATACGTAAATAAATATAGATATATAAATAAATAATGTTACAAATTCATTATAATCAAAATAATTACATAGAATATTCACATTGTTACTTACACTTCCAATTATTACCGTTACGTTGAACGAATTGTTCAAAGATTTGTTTAAATAATTACATAATTCATTCTGAATATTCTGAATATGTACATATACATGATTAGTAGTATTAAACCTTTTATTCGAAGAATCTGAAAGAAAATTAAAAAATGCCCAAAATAAACATGATAATTGTTATGCAATTTTTTTGGTCTTAGTATTGAGCTCTGTAAGATTAGAATACTGTACGTAATATAATCAAATATCGCAATAAAGGTCATTCCCTTTAATCCGTTTAGATCAAAGATAATAAAATATATTATATACAACGTTTTAATCTGATTTTATGGCTCTAGCCCACGTGAAATATCCGGCTCCAATGAGGTGATTGAAGAATCTGAACGGGAATCAGGTGGCGTTGGGGGTAAAACGATCGCTGTGGATGGAATTGATGATGAAATAGACGTAGATGACGAGGACAATTTTGTAGGGGAGGGTGGTATATCATTACTATTCATAGGCTTTCTCAATGAAATTGGGCTCCTACAGAGTGGACTAAAAATTACCAGGAATTTAGTCGAGAGTTAAAAGTTAATAGGTAACATTTGTCCGTATCTAAATACCATAAATTCATCATTTTTGCACATTCCACGCAAAATCCATCATGATTACATGGCCTCAAGGTAATGCAAGGAGGCATTGCAAAGCAAATAGAACATTGTGCATCAAAGTCATCTTCAGTTGTCTCAAATTGCTGTTTCAAACTAGAACTTATGGAAATTGATCGGTAACGTGAAGTTCTCCAAACTCTCTTTTGTATCGAATCACGGAGTTCTGCTGATAGTTGGCCATGATTATTAAGCTTTTGATAAGATAATGATGACGGTGGATATCTTCATAAAAAAAAACAATATATATATATATATATATTTAGGCATTTAGACAAATAATGAATTATTCTGATGGTGTTTATAAAATTTACCGAAATTTTTCGGCTCCAAAATTGACAACAGCTTGTTGATATGAGGTAAATGATAAGGCAGGATGCAGTCCACTTTCAGCCAATTTCCGAAATTGTGCAATGTTGAGGGGATGTACCATTCCCAAATCTTTGCCATTGAGATAGAAACGAACACAACCAAGGTTAATATCCATGTATACACCCACAATATCTCCTATTATTTGGTAAACAAAAAAAAAAAAATTTTAATTATTGTTGACAGAGAAGGCAAGTAACGTATACATAATCACACAATACCTGGTTTCCATGACACATTGCCACCATATGGTATGGATACACCATTTGCCTAAAAAAATACAATTAATTATGTTTAACAATAATATATTTATTTATCATCCATTCAGTGAACCTTACCCATAAAACATTTCTACAACCATCATACGCAAATCCGTACTAATTTATAAAATTTTGTTACACATTTTAATATTACAAAATAAATCAAAATATTACACAAGTGATAGTGATACTAACATGATCATCGCCAATACCTGTACCTTCTTCTGGTCCAAACGTGCAGCGTTTGGTTGCGTATCCAATCTGACAATTTTTAAATATTTCCACACAACTATCAGATGTTTATTGTTTCATCATAATCATTGAAAAAATGAACAAACTCGAACAAACCTGCATAATACCATTGGTGAGCAATAGAACTTCATAGAACCATCTTCCGGAAGTAACTCCTGTCGTAGCACGAATTGATTCGAATGTAAAATTGTCATTTCTTATCTATAAATATTAAATTATAAATTAATAAGGTTTAGGAGAAAAAAGCTTCAATACATATTTATCGAAAAATTAATACCTCTAAACCATGTGGTGATAATTTCCAATGAGAAGTGGCATCCAAGGGATTCAACATTACATTTATGTTATGATTGGTTGAATTATCGTCAGGATTCCATATATCTCCCTAAAAATTAAATTTAAAATTAAACCAAATAGCATTTATGGCATTAATAATTAAATTTAAGATATTAAATAGAAGAAAAGAAAAAATACCTTGCCAGAATCTGCTTCATAATAAATGAGTAAATAAAAAAAAAGTAAAATTAAAATTTATATTTAAAAAAAAAATTAACGACTTTTAATATGCAATTAACAGCTGTAATTGAATTTATAGGAAAATTTAAGAGTGACATACCAAAAGTATTTTTTAAAGCCCAATCTACACAGAATTTTAGTTGTCTTTTACGATAAACTTCATTTATTGAATTTTCATCTGAATGCAATTCTTTTGATAGTACTTGCAAAATTTTATAAATATCTTTTTCGGCCGAGAGAATTTTTTGCTTATTTTGCCCTGTCATGCCAAATTTTTCTAGTGCGATTAGGGCAAACAATCGCACTCCTGCATCATTATCATGCTGGAGATAATCCAGCAACGTATTACATACACTATTAGTAAATAGTGATAAACTAATTTCGCCTATTCAAAAAGGTATGATTTATTCACAATATCTCTGGATTTTTTTTTATAATTTTCGCAATTGATCTCACCTGCCAATTTCTCAGCAAGGACACTCCAAATGATAGAGACATTAACTCGTATACGCTTCTTTGGTTTAGTTCGACCTAAAATTATATGTTTAAATACTAAATTTTGCCATGTTTCTAAAAATCGTTAGAGTAGATTAAAGAAATATAATTCATACATAAGCCTGGTTTAAGTTTTTGAAGTAGTCTTGTCGTTATTTTATGTGATGTTTCCTTGGAAGGAAGTGCAGCACTATCTATTTTTTAATAAAATATCCTTTTTCAGAAAATGTATAATAGTTCATAAAGTTTTTTTCGAAAAAAGAATAAAAAGTAAACCATTTACCAATAATATGACATAAAAAAGCCGAGGCCATAGGTGCCTCCGAAAGAACGTCAGCAATGACGGTGATAAGTTCAATGAATTCGTTTTCTAAAAATTCAATTTTCAAAACCAAAATTATATGTTTTTAAATGTAAATAAGGCTGATATTTCGCGAACGTATAAGTTTGATGCAAAGAAAAGAATACCTTCATGAGACATTGATATGAGAGCTTCCAGAGCGTCAACTAGTTCATCGTGTTCACTTAGACTGTTCAAATTTTTCCAGGCACTTCGAATGAAGGTTTTTCGAGAAAAACGGCCCAAAATGCGTAAAACGAGTTTTTGCATTGGATCGTTTAGAAAAACATAAAATAATTTTTGGATTATAAAAGAAAGTATCTTCAATGCAAATAAAAAATATAAAAATGAATGAAAAAGAAAGTCTCAACCTATTTCTTTCTTTAGCATAAGCCGCATGTTTCGAAACTATTATTATTTTTGAGGTACGTACTTTTAAGTGACTTTGTGGAACATTATTGTCCACATGTTAGTACAAGTACGAACCGGTACATCTTTTATATAATATAAACATATATATATATATATATCAGATATATATATACCTATAATACAACCGCAACGTCTCCTAAAAAATCAAAATTAACCATCATTACCAATACGTAATCAAGTGAACAAGCTTCTATTATATTCATTCGTTTACTTACAATGTCGAACGTTGTTGAGGCTGAACAGCATAAGAAAAAAGGGAATGCTCATTTTAGCAATAAAGATTATAACAGAGCTATCGCAGAATACTCTTCAGCTATCAATAAAGATCCTAAGAATACTGTTTATTATACAAACCGCGCATTATGTTACTTGAAGATCAAAAACTATGAAAATGTTATAGCAGACTGTGAAATGGCTATTAAACAAGACCCTACTTCAGTAAAAGGATATTATATGTTAGGTCAAGCTTTAACGGAGAAAATTGCTTTTGACACTGCTATTTCAAATTTACAAAAAGCATATGACCTTACGATTGCAGATAAAGGCAGTTTTTCTGCAGAAATCGTTCAAGCTTTATTGAATGCTCGGAAAAAGAAATGGAATTTGGAGGAGAAAAAACGCATTGAGAAGGAATCAGAGTTATTAAGATATGTCAAAGGTTTAATTAACGCGGAACGCGAGAAACAACTTCAAAAAGTTTCACCAAAAACAATGCTTTCAAAATTTGTTACTTCACATCCTCCAGATGTTCAAGCAAAATTGGATATTATTAATAAAGCGCACAACGAAAAACTTTCTCAAATAGAACAAGTATTTGGTCAATCAAACGAAAACCTTAAACCGCGAGATTTGCCTGATTATTTTATGGACAAAATATCCTTCAATATTATGCATGATCCAGTTGTCACACCATCAGGAATTACATATGAACGAGCACATTTGAAAGAACATTTTAAAAAGATTGGACATTTTGACCCATTATCAAGACGTGAATGCCGAGAAAGTGATTTATACCCAAATTTAGCACTCAAGGAGGCAATTGAAGATTTTGTGAGCAAGAATGGCTGGGCCGCCGATTATTGAGGTTTTCAATATAAATATAGACAATTTATAAGGTTGAAATATTTCCATTATAGTGCGATAATATTTGACATATCGGAATAAAGTGTGGTAATGAATTATGAGCGCATCTTTTTTTTTTTTTTTTGCAATTAATAATTCAAATTGTAATATTTACACTAATATTGGAATTTCAAATAAAAATAAAAAATTAAGATAATGCATAAAACAGAAAAGCTTGCAAATAATTTTCAATTTATTTTCAGACAAAACTGGTCATTATTCTGGCAATTAACAGACAAAATCATATATTAGAATTAACCTTGCTTTTCACTTTAATATTAAGACAAAGTGATCTATATGCAACAATATAACATACATATAGCTAAATTTAAGCGGGAATTCAATCCAAATTTTTAATTTGAATGAGCTCACTTTAGCTTTCTAACAGCCTTGCGTCCACCACCTCGACCACCACCCCTGGTTTTGGTACCACTTGAGGTACGGCGAGTAGAAGTAGTAGCAGCAGTACTAGACTTTTGTTTGATAAATTTATCTTTGGATAGATCTTCATCGTCGTCGCTAAATTCATCTTCATCTTTGACAACTTGTTCGATTTCAATTGCATCTTCAAAATCAGGAACTGCAGCAACACTACCAGCAGCCTTTGATGATTTAACTGATGAAGCTTTGAGGAACGGCACAGGATGTGATGACGAATTATATCTTATAAAATATTAAAAATTTAAGCCAAACGCGTTAAATCAAATTAATATGAACCATCATGTCTTCTATATAAGATGTATCTTACTTTCTTGTAAAAGCAGTCTTAACGGTTTTGTCGATCTCTTTTGATATTTTATCACTTCCGATGCTTAATTCCATTATTGCATCCCAATCTTCCTTGTTAAGATAATATTGGTCCATCAGTTCAATTACTTCAGTAATTCCATCCTAAATAAAAATATACATTTCAAAATAATTTATCACGTAAACCAAATTATGAACATAAAATAACAGTCATACCGCTCCTTTATCGATTAACGGTTGAGAGAGTGCAGTGAATAATGCAGGGAGATAACTCTGCCGAATTTCATTCTTATCTCCAGAAGTTCTTAATCGCATATGAATTTGTATCTCTTTTAAGATACGTTTATATTTGTTAGTTTTAGAGGTTTGACCCAGCAAACTACCAATAATATGAATTTGTGAATGTTTTGCAAAATGTTCATATACAACTAAATTTGGTTATGAAAAATCACTGCTTATACCTTGGAAACGCGTAACGAGCATTGCCAGTACCATGAACATAATATGTTGGAATGACACAAGAAAACATTCCATGAATTGGCATAAGAGTCCATTGTGGCTGAGATCTAAAGTATATATACAAAATAAATATGACAATTTAGATACCTAATATTTGACTACGAAAATAAAATTACTGACCCATGAATCATCGCATAACATAAATCGCCATCCGATATAGAGACTGCTGCTTTGCCTAGAGCACCTAGTAGAGCCATTTGTTCAAGATCCTTCGGATTTACGTCATCTCTTGCAATGGTGTTCGAAGTAGATTGAGGTTTAATTTTTAGATAATTTTCCTTAAAAAAATTAAGCAATTTTATGTAATTCATTGTAGCCATTGTCATGAACGATTAAATATATATAAAATCTCACTTGAATCATTAACGGTAAAATATCAGATTCGTGATAGTATAGTTCTAATTTGTCGTTCAAATTGCCACTACGATTATTCCATATCGAATTACCAAAAAGCCTACTGGTAATATCGAATGGATCTAGGATTACATTTTTCTCTGACGCTTTATTTCTATATTCCAATGTAAATATTATTAATTGAATATTAACAAATCTCACATTGAACCACATGGAACTCAAATGGAACTCAAATGATCATACAAAGCTTTGCCCTCATCATAAGTAATGCTATCGTTTGCCAATTTCCAAGAAGACAATCTGTTTAAAACTTGTCGAATATCGGAATTCGCACCCGTGATAATCTCATCAACAATATTTGGTTGATTGAACTTGAGTTTTTCCCTAATGATAACATAGGTACATGATTTTTCTAAAATAGAAATATCAAATAATAATGAAAGTGGAAATTTCAAAATACCTTGAGGCGATGGTCATAATTCGTGAGCGAACTTGCTCAACTCGAGGCCTGATAATTATAAATTATACATTAATGACATTAATGAAATATAGCAATTATTGATATATTTAGACGTATTTATAGTTGGCAGTTACTTTTGGAATCTAATGTCTTGACAAACGTTAGTTAAAGATTGTAATTTTTTTCCTTTTTCATTACAAATACAGATAATCGGAACCTTGAACAAAAGCAAATAAAAATTTTTTTTAGAACTATACTTTTCAACCGAATATTATAATTTACATATGTATTTTTAATAAATACCTGGGTTTTCTTGATTAATTGGACAAGTTCAGCGACACCACCTCGATCTCCGGCAGACATGCCATCAACCTCATCCATGATTATAAGAGTTCTATTCATTTTTCGCGCCTTCAAAACAGAATCATTAAACAAATAATACTTTCTTTAGATTAATTCAAAGTATCACTAATTCTACCTCAGCTGTAGATCGAAAAAATCCCATGATAGAAGTGTTGCGTGTGGCTGTTTTGACAGCCATCTAACAAATATTAAGTTTAATGAAATAACGAAAAATATGTAAATAAATAAAGTAATTCATTGAACTATAACATACTTCCAGCGCTTTTTTACTGCGAGTATCACTAGCGTTAAATTCCTTCACATCATAACCTTCAAGTTTACCAACTAAATGTGCAGCCGTAGTCTATATAAATACATTATTTAAATATTTGCAAAATATATTAATAGAACTCGAAAATTTCAAGTCGTGTTTAGTACCTTGCCAATTCCTGGAGGACCAGATAATAGAACAGCTGGAAAGCGTGAATTAAAATTGAAGCCATTTTTTAGATTCAATCGCCTGAAGATTATTCGATCAAAAACAAAAATCACTTAAGACATTTTTTCTACCAAACAAATCCAGTAATTATTGCTTAACTTACCAATCCTTAAGCCATTTTTGAAGATTTTCAACGGCAGATTTATTACCGCACACCTCTTTGAGACTTTTTGGCTTATATTTGTCAGACCATAATTGATATAGAGTTTCTCTAAAAAAGAAGTCAATTGTAAGAGAATAAAGGAAGAACACATTTTATTCTATAAATCAATATAAATACATACGTGCTAGAAGTACTGGAAGTGACGGGTATTGGTTCGGAAACTTCCATGACATCTGAAGCACGTGATTTTCCTTTCGCAGAACTTGATTGAGAGGGTTCAGATTGCTGTGCGGGAGCGTTTCTTACGAGGTCTAATAATTCATCTTCGGTTAGAGTCGGAATATTATGCTGTTTGATCTTTTCTAGTTTCTTTGGACCGGGGTTGTCACCAACAACAACATAAGTTGTACGTGAACTTGGCAGTTGGGTGACTTTTCTAAAATAAGAACTTATATAAAACCTCGCATTGCATATTTCTATAAACTATTTCAATACTAACCCTCCATAACGCTTAACGAGGTCCTGAGCGTCCTCTCTAGAAAGATATTCCAAATCACCAGTAAAGACAAATGTTTTTCCCTATAATAACAGATATTGTAACCAATTAAAAAAAAAAAAAAAAAAAAAAGAAGAAATGAGCAAAATTAAAAGAGAAAACCTACTAATAAGCAATTTTCTGCGCCTTCAGGTATTTCTTTTTCTTTGGATTCTGGTGCGGGAGAATCAGTTTTCGGCTGCTTTTTTTTGGGAGCCTCTAAATAAGAATCATCTTCCTTCGCTCTCTTAGACGATTTAGATTTAACAGGATCCGTTTTTGGTTCCTCAGGAACATTTTCACTTTGATCGAGATTAGCATCAGATTTTGAAGTCTTTTACGCGTGTGTAAAGTGTAAAGCATAAAGCTCGATCAGTGACATGATACGCGAAATAAATAAAAAAAAAACTTCCTTTAGATACCTTCTTCGCGTGTTTCTTTGTGTTAGAAGCACCACCAGGTGCATTAAAGTACTTTCGAATATCCATCTTCGCCTTTAAAATAGAGATAAATTAAAATGTAACCAGTGGGAAAAGATTGAACCTTATATCTGTTATTGTCATCTGATCCGATGATTGATTAATGATTTAATCCAATAACATGAACGAAATTTCCTTTTATCCTGTGCAAATGACTTCACCTGCTGTGCCGACACTTAAGAACCTTTATACGCATCGTACCGCAACAACAGAACGGCAATGCTTTATATGCAATCAATTTACGAATGCGGTTTTAACAACAGATAATGGGTTAGATTGGTTTTATACTTGCACTAGGTTGGTTTAATGCAATTTTTTTTTTAAATAATGAACAATTATCTTTTTTTCATAGGCTTTCGATAAACGACAAAAAAAAAAAATAATAAATAAATAAAAATGCTAGCATAAAATTTGTAACTATAAATTTATGACTAACATTTGGACCTTATTTCCTTAAAGTCACTTGAGCGATCGTGGGTTCGCAACGGTAGTTCCAGAACCAGAAAAAAAACTGCCAACCCCACCGCCGAAATCAACCGAAAAAAAAGAACCCACAAAAAAAGAAAAAAATGTAGACAAGACTGCTGAAGACGAAAAAAATAAGGATTTGACAGAGTCCAAAAAAGAGAAGGATGAAGAGAATAAAGACGAAAAAGATAAAGATGAAAAGAGTAAAGACAAAAAGGAGAAAGATGAAAAGAGTAAAGACAAAAAAGAGACGAACAAGGAATCACCAGCACCCATCCCATCACCACCTAAGCCAAAACAGTATATCTTACATAGAGATATATTTTATTTACGAGAATCCAATTTTAACAAAAAACGACGAGAAAAAAAAGTACAAAGCTTGTTAGAACAACTTCCTAGTGTTCCAAAAAAACCTTTACAATAATTTAAATTTAATAATAGTAATATATAGTATAATTTCCGAATTTTCTCATAATTCATGTCTTTTCGTATTTTTCGTATTTATGTTGTCTTAATTCGCTATCCGAATCTTTGCCAAAATGTCCTATTAAATTTAAGTCAATCGAAAAAAGTGGTTGGTTTAAAATCAATTAATATAATTAATATAATTTAATAATTCTGTAATTAACTTGCCATTTTGAAAACACTCTTGACAATACAAATCATCACAATCTCGGCATCTAATTACTGCATCTTCATTACAAATACCTACAAATTAAATAGTCAGTATCTAATGCCTAAGTTATAAATATTTACGTTAATATATTAATTAATTGAACTGACAACACCAAGTATCCGGATCATCAGAGTCAAATTCAGACAATTCTAATGGTTTTGGTGGAGGACCTAGTGGGCTAACGCCTATCTTCTCACTACTAATTGATGATAATTTTACACTACTTTCTTTTAACAATCTATATCTTTTTTCCAATTCATCGTAGTCTATTATTTTTCCATCTTCTTTATTGCCATACTTATTCTCTAGATAAACATCATCCTGTATTTGATGTATAAGATCTGAAGCTACAATGTCATCGCTACGATTACTTTTATCATCACCCAAGAATCTCGAAACAATGCTGTCTAGTTTCTTTTGATGTGTAACAGAAAATAATGATTCATCATCCAATAAATTTTCTTCGGATAATAATAATTGTTCAATCTTTATACAATAAAAATTATAATATATTAAATAATAAGAATGATGGTTTAGATAATAACCCTTAAAATACCTCATCATCATTCAATACATTTTCGGCGGGTAATTTATAGGTTCTATCTTTTACCACCTCTTTTGTTCTGATAGTTGTTGGTCGCCCCAAAAGGTTTGTAAACCTTTCTACTAATTCTTCTTCAGTTTTAATATCATCATTAGATTTCTTTAGTTCACTGAGGCGTCTCTCAAGGTCAGAATAATCGTCTTCATTGGGAGATGAAAATGACATTTTATTCAAAATCGAACATGGGATATTCAGAGTATTACAATGTTCGACTGTATGTAGTACATAATCTTACCAATAATAAAAATTTCCGGAATATTACGAAAATATACTTATTTATGTATTTATTTATTTACGTATTTATTTTTTACTTTGGCGATTAAAGCTATGAATAGTTTTTTGCGACGATTTTTTGTTAGTAAAACGTTGTGCTACCAAAAAGTACTTTATTGATTTACATTAGCCAATCAGACGAACTTCTTCGACATAAGGGAACCCGGGACTAGATATATGTTTGATTTTATTGGGTGATCGGCTCTGTGTTACAATCAATATTTAATAAATGTGTTTGAAAAAAAAAATTTTAACGCGTCTTTTTCAAAATGTTATCTGAAGATGAAAGTGGTAATAGTAGATTTTTCTTTTTCGAAAAACTTCTTTTTTTTTCCTAAAATTTATTATTTTCAAAGGTTATTTTTTTTTTTAATTCTGACTTTCGTCTACTATACGGTTTCAAAAAGGGGCTTTTGCCATTTCAAAAGGCTTTTTGTTTACCGGTGTATATAGTCTTCGAAGGTTATAATTTTCGTCTATTACACAGTTTCAAAAGGTTGCTTTGCTTTTTTCAAAGGACTTTTTGTTTATTGGTAATGTAGTTTTCGAAGGTTATCTTTTTTTTTTTTAATTCTAACTATCGTCTACTATACGGTTTCAAAAAGGGGCTTTTGCCATTTCAAAAGGCTTTTTGTTTACCGGTGTATATAGTCTTCG